CCAGGTCGGCCGGTCGCGCCCTGCGCCCTTAGAACCCGCCCCAGTGCCTCCCCCCTCTGCCTGCTGCTTCCCCCCCGCAAACCCCGAAAGCACGTAATTGAAGCCCCCAAACGTCAGGCCGTTTTTCAGCTGGGCGGATAAAGCCCTGTTCCGCGTCGTGTACATGCCCACCGCCGTCGACCCCAAAATGCCGTTCCATTTGTCGCTGATCCCTCGCCCGACGTGCAAGATCCCTTCAAAGGCCGTGAAGGCGGCGCAGAATTCGCCAAATTGCTTGGCTTGTTTGATTCCACGTTTATGTGCAAATGTTTTGCCGCAAAACCGTGCCCCTAGTCTCTTGGTCATATCGTCGGCCATCACGGCGCCCCCGTACCCAAAGGCATACCCCAAGGCCGCACTCTGCAAATATCCCATGCCCACATCCACCACCAACTTGCCTACTTGCTCGGCCACCTCCTCGGGGTTCCGGCTGGTGTTCACAATCCCGGGTGGGAGGGTGATAAAGGCACGCACCCGGTTCACCTCCTCGGAGACTTGCGCCACTTGCGCGTCCACGACCGCCCGCAAAAAGCGGCCCGTGTCCCATCTGTCGTCATCTTGAACGTTTGAGAAAGCTTTCGGCTGGTTTGTGCTCAAGGGTGCCTCTTGTACGCTGCTAGTGCGACCCCGTGAGAAGAACGAAGGGCGCGTACGGGCGGTCGCCACGGGGGCGGAGGGAGGCGCGTGGGCGGCGTTTGTTGGGTTGCTTGGTAGAACAATTACCAAAACCAAGAGGAGCAAAGCAGCGAGATAGGAAGAAAAGGAGAGGATGGATGCACTGCTTCGCTGCGTTCTAGATTTTGCGGTCAATAAGCAGGTCTGTATTGGGTTGGCTGGTACGGCTGTTGCAGTGTACACATGCTGCCCCATAGGTACAACAAGTGGCGGCAGGTCAATTTAAAGTACCTGTGTCGTGAAATGTTGGTCTTAACATGAGCAAAATGTCATCGCGTGTCTTCCTGATCTCCGCGGTCGGCACGTGGGGGAAAAAAACGTGATCAGCGTGCTTAGAACATGGCTTGTGTGCCGACCGGAGACGAAGAAGCACCGGCGGAAGCAGGTGAAGAAGAGAAAAATCGGGCCTTGAATGCACCAAAATCGTGCCAGAGGACTACCGCTTCATGAATCACACGCACGTGCTTCCATATGAACCCGCAGGCATGAAGATGTCTGTCCTTGCGACATATGGATGTCCATTTGTGGCACTTTTCGCATGTGTGGTTCTGGTGCGTTGAGGATACTGGGGCGAGCACGTCGGCGCCTCGACGGGAAAGAGGGCAAACATGGATTGAACGAGTCTTGACGCACAAGGATGGCGGCTGCATGTGATATGAGTACATTTCTTTGGTTTGTGCATCTCTCTGTAGACATTGCATTCGTGCTTGTAGTACGCTGAGTTTTTAATTGAAGGAGAAGGCGTGCGCCTGGCGCTTCATTCCCCGTCTGTGTTCGTTCGCCCTGTTGCCCCTATGCTGCCCTCATTCATATGCATATGTGCACGGTGGACGCGTATTAAATGAGACCGACCGCTGGAAGCATTGTTTAACATATTTTCGATAGCCCCTAGACCATGCTCATTTGTGTCCCTTTACAGGTACAGACAGGGGCAAGAAAGTAATCCAAGCAGCACAAGCCCTCTCGCACACCATGGCGGACAGCTGGGATGAAGAAAACAAAGACAAGGTACGTACCCAAGGGATTCGCATTCTACACCTTTGTGAATATCCTGCTTTCGTCCTTCGATATTTTGCCGTTTAGTAAACGAGACAGCTTCAATGTCTTTTCTCCGTCCCCACCCCCTCCATTACCTTCCCCCTTCCTGCCTCGCCCTCCTCCCCTTCCCAGGAGACAACACGCAGCGCGCCTCAGAAGTCGTGGGCGGACGACGATGATGACTTTACGCCAGTGCGGCCTACTGTGCAAAAGGAAGTGACCTACCCTGCCCCACAGCGCACAGCGGTGGGGCCATCGCGGGATGGGGGATTTGGCGGCGCCACTGCGGC